AAACATCAAGATCACAAAACGAAATTAAGCATGTTTGTTTGCTGTCCTCATTCCCGCGGCACGGCTCTGGATGACCTACTTTTTTAAAATGTAGATTAGACTAAGTAATCTTTTATTGTTTTTAATGAATGGAGTTTTTGACTTTTTTAAACCGGTTTAAACTGGTTTGTGCTTGATGAAACCGGTCGGCGAACCGTTATTGCAAACACATCACTGAACTAGAACCCAACCGGAACAAAACTCAACGTTACTGAACCCGAACCAAACCGGAATAATGACCAGTTCGTCTCCTTGCTTCCAACCTACGTTTACGATTTAAGGCAGGTTTCCATAATATGCTGCTGCACTACCTTGTGCTGGCCTCATATACCATTGGCACTTTGTCAGCGGTTTTCTGTTCTTGACGCAGTGTGTGGAGATTTGGGGCAGGCATACGCGGCGTGGCTTCTAAGTTCTAACAGCGCTCTAGTGGTGCTGTTGTGCAAGTGTTCGAAGCAGAAACCAAAGTAGCTTCTTCTTGCGCCACGCACGAACTAGACATTTGTAAGTTCTTATCAAACAAACAACACGCTAATCATGCATCTGTTGTGGGTTTACTGCCGGATTACGAAGAAAATAGGTGGCGCGAATGTTGCGACTCACAAGCCTTTTACGCTTGATAGCGCGATCCATGTCTGAAGTGCCACGAAGTGCCACGATGCGCTTTGTGCGATCACCTTTAGGCTTAGTAAAATTAATGATTTAGGGAAGCTTATGCATAATTTTGCAGTTGTCTCCGCGTTTTATAACGTCAGTAGCATTATGCTGCTTTTTTTCCCCAGCAACATAGTGTGGCTGTCAGTTGCCATATTTTCCCGTTTATGAATTAAATAAATGGAATGGTTGAGTTCATCCAATCCTGGAGTGGGAACGGCCTGAATGTTTTCATTCCGAGTTGAAAGGAATGGATTTTTGGGAAGCTCTAATTCCTGGAATTGGAATTGGAATGGAATGGGGTTGCCTATTCTGTAACACTGACCGGCTTTTTCGGATAGCAGTGTCGACTATGGCAACACTTAAAGGGGCGGTGCAACTATTTTAGTACTTTTTTTTAATAAATACCACTTATAATTAATCCCTGACGTTTACAACCTATGATACGCGCGTTAGGTTTTCTCCTTATAAAATATTAAAAATACAAGCCTGAGGTTTCTTTCTCATAAATAAGAAAACAAAACAAAAAAGAAACATACACGAACAGCGTTATTCCTTAAAAGTCGGAGACAGAACAAGCAGTTACGTGATCTGGAGCCTATTACATACCTCCAATATTTATTATAGCTACGCGCTGGGTTTGGTTAAGCATGGGACACGCGCTCAGTTTCAGACATTGTTAGGGTTTGGCGATCAGCGTCCTTGGAGCGATTGAACAGGAGCCACTACCCGGACGCTTGTCAAACTGTCGATTATCGCGAGCCCACGTCGAGTGCATCGCGACCTCCAAACTACGTCATCAAGTTCTGCGAAGAATAGACTAAAAGAAATCGCTCGCTTTTATTCGTGATATCACACAATAATAAGAAGGTTTCTTGATGAATGACGTTGCGAGCGAGTATACTTGGGTTTCACTAAAGTGCCCGTAAGCTCGTGTAAAGAGAAACACATACTAGCAGAATATTGTTGCACTGCCCCTTTAATGTGAGACAGGGTATAGAAATATCGCTTTCGCAAAAGCACACAACCTGCTTACGAATTGTATGGTAAGAATTAGTCTACCAAAATAGGCGTTACGTTCTCCTGCTTGCATAAATTTATATCTGAATTTCCGATACTACACTTTGCTTAAAGCCCTCAAAAAATCTTAAACAAGAAAATTCACCTGGCCCTCGTTATCTACCATAGTAGCGAATTCATGAAACGTGTGAAGAGGTTACATTAATGTGAAGTATCTGCGTGGAAGCCGTTCTGACCTTTTTCCAAAACTCCTTGAGATACAAAGAAGGTTACGAAATGTTGAGAAATATTCGAGAGCTTTACTACATGCACTCAACAGTGAGACGTGTTTGTAGTTAGAAACACCCTTTTAAAAGTGATCTTGTATATAGGCCCTGCCTGTAACAAAAACATAGACTGGGAAAGTCAGTTCGCCTAGAAATGGCGTCTTATTATCTGCAATGTGGATGATCGACCTTCCGAGTCATGTACGACTGGTAATCTGATACTTTAAGCTTCATCGTCAAGTAGTCAGAAAGCAGATTCACATCGCCAAAGCTTCCCCCTCTAATAAAACCACGAGGGATAGATATTGAAATGAATGAGCCCAGCACGAGCTTTTGCTCCACGCACTGAGAACCTACGACGTTTTAAGGATGTTTATCGTTTCTATAAATTTTGGTTACCTAATTTGGTGTGCCAAAAGAGGTTACGGCGATGTAGTGCACATAAGTTTATACCAGAATAAATAAAACTAAAATTTGGTGATACATTTGGAGATAGGCAAATATCAGGAAGGGAACTTTACATTGTAGATGCAACACATGCAGAAAAAACCAAGGTCACTAACAATTTTTCAGTATTAAAAAAAACCCGTGAGCTAAGGACATAAATTGACAGCGCCCGATAGTCTTAAGTATTTAGTCACGTGCCTCATTCACTGACCCATTTTGATATAAAAAAATTAGAACTAGCCTTTATATATGGTATAAGACAACTTTCATATTCCTAAGCTTCCTCAATATTAAACAGTTTGCGAGAGTGGTATTTTTGAATTTTGTTACGTATTTTCAGTCAGACATCCCATGTTGTTCAGCAAACATTCAATTGTCGCTGAAACTAACTACAGGCTTAGCCATTTAAAGAGCGAATTGCTGCGAGAGTAATTTCACGATTTGCGAGAAAGAAGAGGAGGACACCACGACATTGGAGTGCAGAGTTTGAAGCCAAGGAGCAAAGAAAGAGAACGTCCAGTAATGTAAATAAAGGGCATGTAAGCGAAAGAAGTTGCAGTATTTTTGAAGAGGACACTCATTAGTGACTTTCCTCCCAGAAATTAAAGCCATATATAACTTTAGTCTTGAAAAGTTTGCCGGCATAAAACGATATTTAAATTTGCAATATTCAAACCTGATTTCAATCACGCGGCCACTGTAATGGCCTGCTCTTATGTAGTTTCTGCTGCAATTATCCTACATTCAAAACTTAGAAACGAAATAACGCTTCAGACCGGAATTAGGCCGTCTAAATATTTGTGCCGTAAATATTATTCTCACATTTTTTTCGCTTTATTTAATGAACATACCATTTTTGGGTGAACAGCTAAAGAATAAATGCAGTATTGAAGCTGTCTGTCCCTTCGGTTTTAAGCCATGTTTGTTTTGTTTCAACGTATGGTCAACGAACACTTAAAAACTAAGGGCATGACTGTTTTCTACCATCTCAATACGCGTAGTCATAATTTTTTTTCTAATTTTTCTATTTTTTTTTTTTAGAATACTACAGGCCATGAAGCAGAAGGTGGGTACAACATAAGAATAACTGGCAGCTATAAGTGGCAGCAAGACCAGTTATTGCCGTTGCTGTTTAATCCACTGATATTTTTCCAATGTGATTTCGCTTGAGCACGTGTATCCGTAGTTCAATAAAAAACCAACAAAAAAAATCAATATGATTGCAGGTGGAACATTGTAATCGAAATCTATTGGGGAACACTAGAACCAGGAATGTAAAGCCGCGGTGAGAAAAAAAAATCGACTCAGAATTTTGTTGGTTATTGTGGTTATTTTTTTAATCCACACAAATGGATAAAAAAGTGTCTTGTTTTCTGCCTAAGGGACGTATTGAGCCTTCTCACACTGCCTTCCTGAATGGCGTTCGTTGTCATTTTCGGCACTGCAGACAGAGAGAATTCTTATTAGCAACCATTGCCCGCGTTAGGTCTAAATTGTAAGATAATTTAATTTCATTTGAAGTTGCTTGCACGCAGACAAGATGTTGCAAAGAGCAGTTAACTGCATTCGTCAATATTCTATTAGATTTGTTTAAATGTTTCGTAATGTTAGCCGGATGTATGGCAGCCGGCCATCGTAGGCGCGTGTGGCTATAGTACCAGCCTGCAGAAAAAACATGCTCGCATCCCTCGTTCATTCGTTCATTGAAGTCCGTGAAGCTCACTCTAAAGGCAGTGCACCAAAGTTGGTTCCGTTCTCATTCTCGTTTCCAGTGGCATTATCATCCCCTTTTCTTTGTTGTTTATGTTATTGACATGAGCGGGTGTCGACAACCGGTCGATGTTAGACATCGAAACCTTATCTTGACCAAGCTTCGCTTCGAGCTGTTTTACACGCTCTACACACACGAACTCGAATGGACAGCTGTCAGATTTTCGATCAATTTCATGAAGACGCACTCGACGTCGCTGGACCTATTTGGGTTCACAAAAGACGTTCAGGCAGTCGGCCAAAATGCCGGACTCACTCACTGCATGAGGGACAATCACCCTTGCATCTTTTCTCTCAGGGGTCTTGAACCCAATCACAGAACTCAGCCTGACATAAATGCCAGGCTTGCTGATTTAGGATGTTATCGGTCCATGACTTTTCATTCATATCACCGGCATTGAGCGTCCTAATAATGGTCCGTTATACTTAACTTTTTTCATTTATAAAATAGTAGTCAGTATATTTTTAAAAACATATTTAGAAACCAAAAAAAAAAAACGGTTGAACTGAAAAGAGTAGGTTAATGTATTAAACTTTCAGCGACGGGCATAGTCATGGCTACTTATCCTTAGTGTGAATCATATGTTTAAATATAAGACCTGGTTTCGCAGGTGTCAATTAAAAAGAAAGCCGTTTTTTTGAGTAAATAGATAACTTTATTAGTCGTTCTTTTTTTTAAATCAAACATAGTCTTTACAGATGGTTGCCGAGTCCGTAGCCGTAGGTGCTCAGGCCATGGCCGTAGCGAAGTCCATAAGTGTCCAGACCGTAGCCGTATCCGAGGCCGTATCCGTGAGCCGGGACCGCGTGGACAGCGGAGAACGCGGGACCGGCGTAGGCGGCGACCTTGGCAACCGCCGGGACGGTGTGGACAGTGGCCACAGCCGGGGCCGTGTGGACGGAGGCGTAGCGGGCGACCGGGGTGGCCACGGGGTGCTGGCTGCGGTAGCTGCTCACGCTCGACACGTGGGACACGGCTGCTCCGTGGTGGACGGCGGTGACGGCTGGGGCCACGACTCTGTTGTACACGGGGGCGGCGTGGTAGGCTGCCACTGGGGCGCTGTAGCCGTACAGCGGACTGGCGTAGCCGGCAAAGGCGCAGCTGACCAGAGCCACGAGAAGGCAGGCACGGAACTGGAAGAGAAGTAGTTTAGTTTGTTTTATGTCTAAATCAAGTGAATTCAGGCGAACCCCAACGACGACCAAGCATCTATTCTTAATACTTTGTTTTTTGAAAGATAATATTTGAGAAGTATTCTTCAACATTTGATGTTTGTTATATATATCAGTTTTCAGTTAACACATTTTAAATACTGAATATAAAGAGATCTTTTCGCATGAAAATAAATTTGTTATTGTGTATTGAATTAGTTGTGGAGCGCATCCTTCTTAGCTGGGCAATCGTTATAGGTACGAGTGATATCAATAGCATATATATTTTAAAGAATAATCTGTTCACTTTGTCAATTAAAAAAATCAAGTGAAGTTAACACTTAGCGGTAAACTTTGAGTTTAAATGCTTTTAAGCAACAAACGAGGACTTACGGCGATCATGTTGGCGTGTAGTTGAGATGCGTCTGGGCAACTGGCACTGAACAGCAGCAAATTTCGGTTCTTTTTATACCTGTAATCTAGGTGGAATAAGGGAGGCGCACTAGGCGGGGTCTCTTTCGCGCTTAGGTGACAAACAAGAATAAACGCAAAAGGGGAAAATTTTACGTTGGTGAGTCACGTAGTAAGCTCGCTTTAACGTCGGCATTGCCGCTTCCATGTTGTTATTTCCTTAGTCAAGTACACTAACCTGAGGAATGTCGCTCGGAGATGATTTTTGCTAGTCTATTGCCACTCCTTGGGCTGTAGAGATTTACCAGGAGCCTGCAGACGGGCACTGCCGTCCGATTGAAAAGAGCTGTAACTGCGGGAGTGGTCAACCAGAAGAAAGTACAAGTGTATACAACTGCCTGAACATTTACACGTCCTAATTTGAAAGAACAGAAAAACAACGCCGAAATTAGTGAAAAAAGAATAGCATTTGTTACCATATCATCCAACTAACAACATATTGTCAAATCTACAAAGAAATCAGGAAAGTATTTTAATTTTATTTTTATTTATGTAAATATTACTGCCATCCGTCTTTGTTGGCTAAGGCATGGATGAGTATACGCCATCAGGGCAGTTATTATACACATAAACGCAATACAAGTGGGACACATTTTATTTTGCGCAGTAAAAGTATATATTATTATTGCATTATAAATAAATCAAAGTGTATTTTTCTGAACTTTTTCTGGTTGGTCGATAACGACTTGAAATGCGGGTCACATTTATAGCCACACATTCTAATAGAGGACAAATAAAAAAAGTGTGCGTCACGAGCTTTGGCTCTTTTCTTTTCTGTTAAAGAAATTGTGTATTGTTATCAACACACGAAGAGGTAAGCCTAAATTTGTGTCTAAAAAAAAAAGGAAAAAAAGCTTCGTCTCTGGTCTACATTGACGGATAGTCCTGCGCCGAGGTCACATTTTTCGGGGGCGCAATCGCTATATTATCGAAGTGAACCTTTTATTATAGTTCGGAGTAAACCTCGAAGGACTTTTTAAGTGTTAATTTCTTTGCACAGATTTTTTAACATTCGAATTCATTTTTCAATCTCGAGATTAGATTAGTAAAATTAAATAAATTGGAACACAAAACACAATCGTCAGCAAAGAAATTACATTGTATCGTGGTCTCTTCTACTCGTAGAAAATTATTAAATCAATAAAGAAGCAGGGGTGGTGCATCCGACAGAATTGATAATTCAAGCGACTTTCATTTAGCAACACTAAGATGCTATTTGTGACTTTTAAGGTAAGAATGACTTCACCTTAAAAGTCCATATTTGCTCAGTGCCTTCTGAAGCTCAGGTGAGAAACAAGCGCACACGTAGAAGGAGAAACGTTTACCTTGTTGGATCTCGTACTAAGATCGCTTTTACGTCTTCATTGCCGCTTCCATGTTGTTATTTCTTGAATCAAATATACTGACCTGGGGAACGTTGCTAAGAGATGATTTTTGCCAGTTTGTTGAAACTCATTGTGTTGTAGACGGTTACCCTGAACCTGCAGACGGACATCGCCGTCCGTTCAAAAGTTACGGTAACTGCGGGCTTAGTCAAACATAAGAAAAAATAAGGGAATATAAGTCCCGGAAAATTTACACGTTCTTACCTGAAAGAACAGAAAAATAACATGTTGCAGACTCGGAAATGAGGAACGATAAAAGACGGACAAAGACAACAAAATCTCAAACGGAGCTGAAATTTATTGAATTGAGCACTCAAATAAATATACTACCAAATAATAACAGGATCAATGATAGACTTCCAAGTAATCAATAGACCAATAAATAGACAATACATAGTTTATTAATTGGTGTGCTCAAATCAAGAAATTTGAGCTGCGTTTGAGATTTTCTTGTCTTCGGCCGTTTTTTTTTTATTGTTGCCAATCTCAGGGTGTACAAGTTGTCGATTCATTACCAGCTCGCCTGCACTCTATGACTGCTTGGCAAAACAACGCCAAAGTTGCAGAAAGAAAAAAAAAAAGGATGTGGTATTGTAATGATCTGATGAATACGGCGACAAAAAGAGGAAGAAAATAGAAGGATACTAAATACAAAAAAAAAAAAAGACATAAGAAAAAGAAGAGGAGGAGTACGACGAGATTCAGGGCGGAGAGCGGACGCATTCGGAAAAACTTGGCTCCGGAATACACCGGCAAAGCTGTCGTCCACAGAAGTCTGCCGACCTGTCCTCACCGTCAACACTAAACGGCAAGCCTGTCTCAAGAACGCACCGGCAAAGCCATCACAACAACTGGCTGACTGGTCACCACCGGTACGCTGGCAGCTGGAGCCAAACGAGACCGGCTTCTGCAACCCGGGAGGCGCCTAAACCAGCGTATACCAGTGCCAACCTCGGCAAGTGGAACTTTGGATGTACGCCATTTTTTTTTATTTACTTCTTTGCTAATAAGTTTCCTTTTTTTTGTTATGTGGATTCGGAAAGAAGAACAACTAGTCGCGAATACATTCTTTTGATATTAAAAATCAGACGGACCTCTCAGTTTCCTCTTTGTTACCATAAGAAACCAGACAGTTACATTATCATTCAACTAACAAAATAGTAGTAAATCTACGAAGCAACGAGTCAAGCCTAGTAATTTGATTTTTTAATATTTTATTTATGTAAATAAAACTGCCATCGGTCTTCGCCGGCCAAGGCATAAAGTTGTGTACGGCATGATGGCAGACATTATACACAAATGCGCCATAAAGTTGTACGAAATATTTTTGTGAGGAATATTAGTAGAAATTAGGGTTAGTAACTCGGAAATAAGAATGCTAATGTAAACTTATAACAAAAAAAAAAATCATAAGTACAATGCCTTTTAAACTATGAGGCAAACCATTTCAATTTCGGACGCAGAAAAGAAAAATAGATATCGAAATTATGAATAGATTTTTGATGTCTCGGCATCGTTTTACGGCAGCCTTTGAACTTCATACAATCGAGGAACGTCAAGCCAACTTGGTCGCCGTCCTTGAAATGCTTTTGTATTATTTGGCCACACTGGAAGCGTCTGCGCCATTTAACCCAATTGTACTAAACTGGGGCGTCGTCTACGAACAACGCTTCCAGATTGGAATGAATATTTTTTGTATTGCCTCCCTTAAAAAAAAAAAGTAAAAAAATAAAATACGGATGACTGAATGTGCTTGGCACCGACGGGCGGTGTCATTTTTGTTTCGACTCCCTAGCGGCGTTTTGAGCTACTATAGCATGCGACGTCTATATTGTGCGGAAACGGACGCACGCTCATGTTGATGCCTAAATTGTTCTTTTTTTTTTTTAATCTTTGTGCCGTTAATACGAACTGTATGAACGCCCGTCGTATATCAACACATGGAAACGTCAACCTGGATTCGATTTATTCGCTTCCGTAACTAAACAAGTAAAGAAAAAGCTTCGTCTCTGGTATGCAATGAACCGTAGTCCTCGGTAGAGTCCATACATATTGGGGGCGAATGGCCATAACATTTTCGAAGGGAACAGGTCAACTTAAATTAAACGTAATAACAAACGAATATTAATACGAAGTGACTATTTCTAGATGTAGTGAATTGTTAGCATAGCAAAACAAAAATAATGAAGACTTTTTAAGTTTTACTTTTTTTTGCACACCTCTCTTAACAATCAAATTATTTTTACACTCTGGAAACTAAGGAAAGAGTATATGAGCGCTATTGTCAACATTTTTTCTGATAAGTAAAGCATAATAAAGCGGAACACGAAACAGAATTGTCTGTAAAGAAATTGCATTATATCAAAGGCTCCCCGTAGAAAATTATCAAATGCATGAAGAAGCAGAGGCCCGAGCAGCGACGCCTGGAGTACCCCCCCCCCCCCCCCCCCCCAACAAACTGGTAGTTCTAGGGACTTTTCATTAACAACAGTAACAACCTCTTTGCAATTCGGAAGGTAAAAACTCAGTCCACCGCAAAATGCAAAAATTGCGCAGTGCACAAGACTTTCTCAAAAGTATTCGCGAAATATAAAACATTTGCATCTACTTGGCCATCGTTACCCTATATTGTAGCGATTTCGTAACTCGTGTGACAAAATAGGATCACGGTTAAGTCTCCGCATGGGAACTCATTTCGGTCTTACCAAAATGCGTGGGGTACCAAGAAAGTTACAATGTCTATATAAGAAAAAGAATATCCGATAACCTAGCTAGACGTACCAAATAATGAGAGAGGTGTTTGGTTTTAAGCATGCGTTTAAAACCGCTCTTGTATATGGGTCATGCTTGTAAAAAATGCATAAACACAGTTGGAAGTCCATTTCTCTAGGAAAGTAGTCTTATGTCTGCGTTGTGGATTATCGACATGCTCAGGAAAGTACGACTGCCGATATGATATTTTAACGTTCATCGCTAACAAGTCAAAGTGCGAATGCATGGCGGTGAAGCGGACTGTTATAACAAAACCATCGGGAGTATTGAAATGAATGAGTTCAGTACAAGCTTTTGATCAAGGTATTGGGAAGCTGCGACGCGTAAAACAAGTATTGTTATTTTTATTAATACTGCTAACCTTCTTTTGGAGGTTGTGACAGGAGATGTTAGTACAATGCATTGTAGATGAGTTTTAGCAGAATACAGATAAATAAATGATGGATATACACAGTAGAAAGAAGCGCGAAGTGCGGAAAAAAAAATAACACATTGGAAGAGCAATATTTGACAGCACGTAGGTCACAAATAACATTGCAATACACACACACAGACACACACAGATATATATATATATATATATATATATATATATATATATATATATATATATATATATATATATATATATAAATAGCTGAGGAAAGTATATGACCACACCTAATAGGTTAATATGAAAGGAAAATACCGGAATTTACGCACTCTCCCACATCTATATCGCAAAAAACGAAATGCAGCCTAATACATATTTGTTATTAGGCGTTCTGATATTTTTCTCAGTTTCAGTTTGAAACCATCTTCATTGGTGTGGTATCAAAGTTTTAAGAAATCGTTTCAACTAAACCCGGCTTGTTGTCAAGCAGATGCTTAGTGTTCGTTATAACTAGTTAGAGCCTTAGCCATTTATACAAAATAGTTTTCAAGAAAACCCTCATTGGAGGAGAATTTCTCCAAAAAAATAAAGTCGTATAACTCTCTTTTGGAAGTTACCCGGCAGGAGTCATTTCTTCATTCATTTTCAATATTGACACATGTTGATTTAATTTGCGTGGGCTTTGTACCAGCCTGATTTTTTGCAATGGCTGCTTCAAAACTTCAAGGTCATACAGCTGCAAAACTTCAAGGTTGCACAGGTATGCAGCTCTTGATCAGGGATCTTAGGTGGACTGCATCTTTCTCGATTTTTGAAAAGCTTCGATAAAGGTGTCACATAAACGTTTATTGCTTAAGCTAGGTAAACTTAACATTGATTTTGACGTGTTTAAATGGCTTGTTGCATTCCTAACTAATTGCTCGGAATTTGTAACGTGTAATTGCACTGACTCCTCTGGCGCGTTCGTCTCTTTTGGTGTATCTCATGAGTTCGTTATAGGTCCCTTACTTTTTCTAATTTATATGAACGACTAGCAGACCAATGTTTTTTTCTTCAGTGAAACTCTTTTGTGTTTACTCAGCTATTTACCCTGTTATATCCAGCGACTCCGGCTAACAAAAACTGCAACATGATTTATATTCAAATTTTCAGTGGTGTGAACTCTGGTCAATGCAACTTAATATTACCAAGTGGAAAACAATGCGCAAAACATGTAAAACTACACTTTCCGCTACTTTTAGCCTTTATCACAAACCCTTAAAGCTCGTAGATTCGTACTCACATCTGTGTGTGACAATAATCGCCAATATACCCTTGCAGCTGCATGCTTACCTAACAAGGCGAATCGTAGGCTTTGTTATCTCGAGCGTAACTTCTTCCTTGTCATTAAAACTATTTTCTTCTAAAACGCTAGTGTGACTTAAACTCGAGCCTGGAGCCTCCATCTAGAATTTCTTTACCAACTATCTCACTGACTCACTTGAAGCCGTTTAGAACAGGTCCGCGCGTTTAATCCCAGCCAATTATAATCGCTCTGCAAGCGTTCAGCAATAAAATACTTTACTAGTTTCAAGTCTCGCAGATTGTCGCAGAAGTTATCGTATTTGTATTTTTAATAAGATATATTATGATATTCCTCAACTCAGTGCAGAGCTAATAATCTCACCATCGTTCGTTTCCGCACGTTTCAATAATCTCCACCATGTCGGTGTTCCGTTTTTTCACTCTAATTCATATTTTTGCGTCATTAATTCCTAGAACTCCCGATGATTGGAATCGCTTACCTGCGTCACTGACATCAATTGTTGACTGCAGTCTTCTTTGTACTAATACAGCTAACTATTGTAGTTCCCTATTCTTTCTGATCTTTGTTGTTGTTATGTTGTTCCCGATTTACCTCTCTTTTTGTTGTTTTATTTGCTACCCCCTCTGTAGTGGCTCCTTGCCTCGTGGGTAAATTAAAAAAAAAGGAATGAACACTATAGATAAATCAATGAATAAATCAATCAATTAATCAATCAACCACTTCATTTTAACATATATATAATCTGAATGCCAATTCAGAACGAACTCTGGCTTTCTAAAAATGTGTTCGTTAAATATTATTTTAGATTTTTTCGATTGATGAAATGTAAATTCCTTATGATACAACAAATATCACCGACCTGACTTAACAAAATGAGCAGTTTAATCATACGTTTTATCTCTCATGCAAGAGACATCATCAGTGAGTGCCAAGAGGGACACGAGTGAGAGCAAACCCTATTACAGTAAATCCGCGTACACGTCAGAAAGTGGGCTGCGGTTAACGTTGCAAGCCGATTGGTCGCCTCGGATGCACCACGATTCCAAGAATTTCCGGGGACCCCACCTTTGTTTCCGTTCCAAGATCTCTGCGTTGTCAAAATCTAAGCTGTGACCGGTGGTCAAACAATAGTCGACCAGTTCGGTTTTTGACCTGGTAACATGCGTCGCCCTTTCTGCGTCTCTTTTATGTTCTTTGAAGTGGGTGCTTCGCTTGCTGCTGGTTTCCGCGATGTACGATGCATCACAGTCCCGACAACTCAACTTGTACACCATCCCGTTCTGAAATAAACGGGGAGGCGTACTTAGTGAGGATGTCTCCCGCATGGGAGACGACTCATTGAGGATCTTTCCCGGATGACAAAGGAAACTTCTGATTAAATTGTTAATTTCGTTAAGTCAAGCCGGTGTTATTTGTTTTATCATGTCCAGTCCCGGCAATTGGAACATTTTTGCGTAAATCCATTATTAGCAAAATTTGTTTTGTTAATAAACGTTTTATTGTGACTCGCCATAATATTAAACGTTTTATTGTGATCCCCATAAATCACTGCTACTTACTCTTACAAGCTGGTCTGGGAATGTGTTATTGCATAGTCACTATTTTTGTAAATCTAGAACTTTATTTATTGCTGGTTTATAAATAAATCATCGTGTTTACAGATGGTAACCAAGTCCGTAGCCGTAGCTCCTCAGGCCGTGACCGTAGCGAAGTCTGTAAGTGCCCAGACCGTAGCCATATCCGAGCCCGTAGCCGTGGGTTGGGAACGCGTGGACAGCAGAGAGCGCCGGAGCCGCGTAGGCGGCGACCTTGGCGACGGCCGGCACGGTGTGGACAGTAGCCACAGCCGGGGCCGTGTGGACGGAGGCGTAGTGGGCGACCGGGGTGGCCACGGGGTGCTGGCTGCGGTAGCTGCTCACGCTCGACACGTGGGACACGGCTGCTCCGTGGTGGACGGCGGCCACGGCTGGGGCCACGACTCTGCTGTACACTGGGGCGGCGTGGTAAGCTGCCACAGGGGCGCTGTAGCCGTACAGCGGACTGGCGTAGCCGGCAAAGGCGCAGCTGGCCAGAGCCAGGAGGAGGGAGGCACGGAACTGCGAAAAGAGTAATATGTATTATACGTTGGCCTATTAAATAAAAGCACAAGGAAGGTATCGAAGGACCCTCTTTAAAGGATTTATTTTTCAGAGTACGACGTTTTGATGATGGTTAGAGCTGTGTTTTATTTACGCAGCGGACGGTGTATCAATTTGTAGCGAAAACGTTGTAGAAAAAACTATGTGAAATCATTGTTTTGTATATAAAAGCAGCACTATCATTAAAGTGTTGTGGTGAAGGCTTGGACTAGTTTTATTTGCGTATCGTGTATGTCTAGCTGCTCATGTGTTTCAAATTGTTGCTTTAAGGTAATAAAGCAGAAAATGCTAATTTTAGAAACGTGGCGATTTCCGCTAGTTAAATGGATAAAATGAAGTTTGGTAAAATTAAGCTCAAGTAAAAGAAGTTTCTTTATGTACGACGAGAAAGCGACAGGCGAGGACTTACTGCGATCATGATGGCTTGTAGTTGAGCAGGTTCTGGGCAACTGGCAGTGAACAGAAGCAAATTACCACTCTTTTTATACCTCGATGAGGGGTGGGACAGGGGAGACGGAAGGGGCGGAGTCTCTTTCGCGCCCAAGTCACAAACAAGCGGACGTGTGGAAGGGAAACATTCTACGGTTTTGAGTCACGTACAAAGATCGCTTTAACGTTGGCATTGCTGCTTTCATTTTGACGTTTCCTGAATCAAGTTGAATAACCAAAGGAGCGCCGTCATGAGAGGATTACCGCCAGCCTGTTGCCACTCATTGTAACGTTACGGGTTTGCCCTGAGCCTGTACAGACGCACCTTTGTTTGTAGTCAGGGTATTGTGAATTACAACAAAGTGCAAGGGAATGTGTATGTGATTACCCAATAATTTAAAGGTTCTGAGTTGAAAGAGCAGCAAAATAGTGCCAAAAGTGAGGAAAGATATGAGCTGCCCTTTTTACCATATTATTTAATTTAAATTGACAATACCTGATCTACAAAGTAATTGGAAAACTCTGTATATTTATTCTGCGGACTGAAATTGTTGGCCGGGGCACTGAGAGTATGTAATATCAGGGCAGAGATTATCGACAAAGATGTAATACAAGATATGCATATTTGATTTTCCAATTAGCATTAGCAGACATTATGGTCGGCTACTTGTGAATAGAAACATTATTGAAAAGTTCTAGCAAAAGGGCCTCTGTAGCAGTACATGTAAAGCTATAAAGCAAAACATCCCAGTCCGGGACAACCGTAAGAAGGAAAGTAATATTAACAATTTGTTTTCTACATTGGAACTCACGAATATGTTATTCATGTTTCCACATTGCTTCACTGCTGTCATTGCGTTTCAGATAATCGTCGAACTTTGAGCCGGCATTATCGTGTATTGGATTACACCGAAATTAAAACGCCTCATTTTTTTGCGATGATAGAACTAAGGTAATTTGACTGAGTCATCAAAGTATAATACAGAGGTTCCCCTCCGGTATATGCATTACAAATAATTCCAAGTGCCTTTATTAACGTCTTAGAATTTTTCACTAAATGACTGGGAATTCGGGTCCCATAGCGCGTGCGTATATTTCAGTAAAGGAATATTAAAAGAAGTGTTCTCGACGAGCTACGTTTCTGGTATAAAAGGAGGCATGGTCCTTCCTAAAGTCCACCTTTGTTTGGATGCAATCGCTATAATATTCTGGGAGTGAACAATCAATCTTAGATTAGACGCAGTTACAACTAATAAATACTTGCACCAAGTGATAATAACTAGAGGTAGTAAGTTGATCGCAATGCACACGCAAAAGTGGAGACTTTTAAATGTTACTATCGTTTGCACACATTTATTAACATTCAATCTCATGTTACACTCTCGATTCTATTGAAATACCATATGAAGCCTGTCGCCTTAACTTTTTCTGATGAGTGGAACATCATTAACTGCAAAACCAAACACCTATGGACAGCAAAAAGCGAAACTGTATGTTTGGTTTATGAATCAATAAATTAATTAATCAATCAATCAATCATAAGTTTACCGCGGGTCATTGATACATTACACAATGCGGAGAACGGGACACCGATCCCTGGCGAACCCCTTAAAGTACAAGTAATTATATGCTCCGTTTTAATATAAATCTGACCCTAACGATGGTATGATCCGGCAAACTCGGCACACTAACCAAAGTCCTAGGGAGATTACGAAGGCTTTTGTCATGTCATGGTGCGAAAAGGGTTGCCTTGAAAAGGGTTGCCGTCCGTTGCCTTGTTAGGCAGCGAGATTTCTTACATGTGTTGTTACGAAGGAAGATTGTAATCACAATGATAAGATTGGCGGATTTTGTGTTTTGGTGGATCGAGGGTTTCATGTTTCGTCTTAAATAAAAATTAGTTGTAAATTGCAGTAAATAAAATGAAAGGCGGTCACCCGAGAAAATAAAAGAGCAGAGCCCACGCGGGCTTCCAGAAAAGACGAGGGGTCTCACATGACGAGGTGGTGACCGGCGGGGCTGGGGGCGCGGGAGCCCTGGAAGGAAAGAGGCGTCCGACAAGGAGGGTGCCTGGTAGAGTACTCCGTTCATTCAACGGTAAACAACATAGGGGTCAAGCATTACGGGGACGTAACCCTGACAACACGGGCGCAATGGTGGACAGTAGCTGCACCTAGGTAGTGCATATAGAAACTGCGAAAAATTTAAATACAACATAAGTTAGCCGCTTGTCGTGTACATTCCTCTCACTGGTCCTTCGTCTAATTTTTGCGCTTTGCTTGCTTGCAGAGCCAATAAGACAGCGCGAAATATGTGATGTCATGGCACTCGTCGTCTTTGTGCGTTCGCTAAGGCCGTCTCAACCTATCCTGCACAGCAATTGCACCGGAATCCATCTCTTTTTACTTTGCGTGATTGGTTTAGGGCGGTGATGGAAAACGCACACAGAAGGCGAGCACCGTGACGAGGCACTTTTGGCGGTGCTTGACTGGCTAGAGTGTTGTGGAGTTGCCACTCTGGAATTGAAATGACTTTGGAATCCTTCCGCACTTATGCTACCCCGGAATGGGATGGGAATGGCATTAGATGCCTTTTGCTCGGAATGGAGTGGGTATGAATTGGGGGCTCAATTCTTGTGCAAGCTGTGTTGATTCTTATTTAAGGCCTACCGGCTAATGGCACAATTCTTTAAGGCGTGGTAGGTGGCTCTTGAAACAGCATCATTGCACTGGAGGTGTATGACGGCTTGATTGTATCACTGGTCCATGCTCCGTAGAGGATGAAGATGGCGCGCCTTCAGTGAAGCATCCAAAACTGAATAGCTGTAGACGAACAATGTGTCCTTCCTGGCGTCGCGAGACGCGACAAAGCGGCTGTTGTAATCATGCGCGATTAGCATGTAGCCGCTACCCAGGGTGTTGAACGGAACCGAAAACCGGAGCAAAGTCGTTATTTCTATCTCAACCGAAACCAGACTGTAAATCAAATGAAACATTTGATATTGAACCCAAACAGGAACGAAACCGTAATCTTATGTGGCGGTTACCGAATCACTGAAAATGGTTTGGCGTAATGAAATGGAACCGCGGCTTCTTGCGGGTGGCGGAGCGAATTCAATTAAACAATTGCGACGGTTGCATGAGTGGCTCAGTTTTGATTAAAGAAACGTCAGCGACGGCATGGAGACGGGTCAATAATAATGATACACAAGCATATTTTACGTATGTGCAGCACGAATTGGCGTCGGCAAGTCGGTGGGAAGACGTAAACTTGTGTGCCTGGTTTCACCTTACGATGAGCCCTAAAGGACGCCACGAGCCATCGGAGCCAATTCATAGCTCGGAGGGCGTCACGTGTCCGTCCGGTTGGGCGGAGCGACGCGGTGAGCGCCAAGTCACGAGACAAGCTGCGAACCTATGGATTGGCTTGTGTAGCTCGTAGCGTCCTTCGTGGTACATCATAAGGTGAGAAACCGAGTATATCTGGTGGCATTGAGGCTAAATACAAATTCTTTGTGTTTGTGTTCGCGCGCGGGTGTGTGTGTGTGTGCTATTTTCTTGCTGCCAAGCGATATTCCTGAAGGAAGCAAAAAGCAAACATAAACGTGAAAATCAAAACAAAAAGTTGACGGCTGTCGGTGGGTTTGTTCCGCGGTGGCAAAATCTGTAGGCGCGAAGATGCGAAGCTTAGACGAGCGAGAGACTGCGGTGCTGGTCGCCGAGACGCCAGTAACCCAGAGCCCTGGACGCTGTGTGAAGTAATTTTGTGTCTGTGTGTGCGTGCTTCCTAGAAACAGCAAGTCTCCCGTTGTATTTTTTGTCCTTTTAAATGCGGAAACATAAAGTGTCCCATGGAGCGAACCGGCGTTATTAGCTTTTGAAGCCGGTCCAAACGGCACCTGAATTCCCCTGTCCCATAGAGCGAAACCTGTAGTCTGTCAGCGAATTGATGGAAAACTCCCATTGACTTTCGCGCGGCATAGTTCCAAGGAACACCACCCCACAGAGAAGCCCTCTTCATGGCGCAGCGGCCCGGCCGCCGGTAAGAGGGAGGGGGTGGCCGGGCTCTTCAGAGCGGCCGTGGCGGCCGGCCGCAGAGCTAGCCCGGGCACCTTAAGCGCGATCCAAACCAACGCTTCTTTTTGCGCCTGTAGGTCGTGCGGCTGCGGATGTGACGTATTTTCGTGACGTCGCGCCGCTTCTTCGCTCCTTCCGGGCGCGCACAAGAAAGTTGGTTGATTTCAACTTCTTTCTCAACGCGCACAAAAACGCGCGATGACGTATAGGGCGCTCCTGTGTCCCGGCCAATCGGTGGAGGGCAAGCTAGTTCCGGCTCCGCGTTTCTCGCCGTCTGGCTGCCCTCTCCTCCCCCCCTTTTATTCTCTTCCAACATGACAACGCGATCTCTCTCTCTCTCTCTTTCTCTCGCCGTCTGGCCGGCCAGTCTGTCGCAGTTGCACTTTGCTTGTGCGCTCGTGCCTGCGTGCGCGCGTGCGCGCTCGCCCGAAGTTTCGCCCGTCCAAACCAAAG